CTCTCTCTCTCCTCTCTCTCTCTCTCTCTCTCTTTCTCCTCCTCTCTCTCTCTCTCTCTCTCCTCTCTCTCTCTCTCTCTCTCTCTCTCTCCTCTCCCCTCTCTCTCTCCTCTCTCTCTCTCTCCTCTCTCTCTCCTCTCCTCTTCTCTCTCTCTCTCTCTCTCTCTCTCTCTCTCTCTCTCTCTCTCTCTCTCTCTCTCTCTCTCTCTCTCTCTCTCTCTCTCTCTCTCTCCTCTCTCTCTCTCTCTCTCTCTCTCTCTCTCTCTCTCTCTCCTCTCTCTCTCTCATCCCTCTCTCCTGTCGTCTGTCGTCTGTTCATTCGTTCGTTCGTTCGTTCGTTCTTAATCTTGGTGTTGGATTTCAAAGCTTCAGTTCAAACATAAACTCACATGTTTCTGATGATCGTCCAAAACCACTGAAAGTCCAGGACCAGATCTGAGTCCTCACAAGTCCCCAGTCCTGATCCAGTCCTGATCCAGTCCCGGTCCAGTCCTGGTCCAAGTCCTGGTCCAGTCCTGGTTTAGAACTAGTTAGTTCTTGTTTAGTCCGTGTTTAAATTTGTTTCAGTCCTGTTGTAGACTTTTTTAAGTCCTGGTTTAGTTCTGGTTTAGTCCTGGTTTAGTTCTGGTTTAGTCCTGGTTTAGTTCTGCTTTGGTCTCACACATGTTCTTGATCTTGTTTCTTTACGATCTGTGGCTCACGTCCAACTCCAGACACACGCCACAACTACACCTCCTCTTCCTCCTCCTCTCCTCCTCTTCATCCTCCTCCTCCTCTTCCTCCTCCTCTCCTCCAATTCATCCTCCTCCTCCTCTTCTCCTCCTCCTCCTCTTCATCCTCCTCCTCCTCTTCTCCTCCTCCTCCTTCCTCTCCTCTCCTCCTCTCCCTCCTCCTCCTCTTCTCTCCTCCTCCTGCTCCTCCTCCTCTTCTTCTCCTCCTTCTCCTCTTCTCCTCCTCCTCCTCTTCCTCTCCTCCTCCTGCTCCTCCTCCTCCTCCTCTTCTCCTCCTCTCCTCCTCTTCTCCTCCTCCTCTCTCCTTTCTTCCTCCTGGTTAAATATCTCAGTCTAAAGTTCAGTTTTTTTCCTCCTCATCCAAAAGTGTCTCTCTCTATGTGTGTGTGTGTGTGTGTGTGTGTGTGTTGTGTGTGTGTGTGTGTGTGTGTGTGTGTGTGTGTGTGTGTCTGTGTGTGTATGTGTGTGTGTGTGTGTGTGTGTGTGTGTTGTGTGTGTGTGTGATGTGTGTGTGTGTGTGTGTGATGTGTGTGTGTGTGTATGTGTGTGTGTGTGTCTGTGTGTGTGTGTGTGTGTGTGTGTGTGTGTGTGTGTGTGTGTGTGTGTGTGTGTGTGTGTGTGTGTGTGTGTGTGTGTGTGTGTGTGTGTGTGTGTGTGTGTGTGTGTGTGTGTGTGTGTGTGTGTGTGTGTGTGTGTGTGTGTGTGTGTGTGTGTGTGTGTATGTGTGTGTCTGTGTGTGTGTGTGTGTGTGTGTGTGTGTGTGTGTGTGTGTGTGTGTGTGTGTGTGTGTGTGTGTGTGTGTCTGTGTGTGTGTGTGTGTGTGTGTGTGTGTGTGTGTGTGTGTGTGTGTGTGTGTGTGTGTGTGTGTGATGTGTGTGTGTGTGTGTGTGTGTGTGTGTGTGTGTGTGTGTGTGTGTGTGTGTGTGTGTGTGTGTGTGTGTGTGTGTGTGTGTGTGTGTGTGTGTGTGTGTGTGTGTGTGTGTGTGTGTGTGTGTGTGTGTGTGTGTGTGTGATGTGTGTGTGTGTGTGTGTGTGTGTGTGTGTGTGTGTGTGTGTGTGTGTGTGTGTGTGTGTGTGTGTGTGTGTGTGTGTGTGTGTGTGTGTGTGTATGTGTGTGTGTGTTTGTACTTACTACATTGTGAGGACCGCTGTAAGTTTTTAACCAACAGAGTGAGAACATTTTTGGGAAGTGAGGACATTTTGGCCGGTCCTCACTTTGTCCCCTGTTAAATCACCTCTAAAGGCCTTCTAGAAGCTCCCCTGTGATTTTCACAAGATGTCCTCATTTTGGGTCAATGTCAAGAATTTTTCACCGGAATTTCACACACTTTTGCACTCCTACGCCCCCTATGGACACAAAGGGTACTGCGCCTTAAATTTGGCACCCAGAACCCACCTATGGACACAACAGGGTACTGCGCCCAAATTAGCTTCAAACTGTTGATCTTATCAGCCAAATCTTGTTGTTATGAAGGATTAAAGACAAAAAATATATATTTTTAATTTAATTTCCTTAATGAGCCTAGCACATATTTCTGGGTTTAATATATTTTCTGAAATGAAAACATGAGGTAATTACAACTCCTGGAATCAAGCAAGACTATGTATTTAATAATAATGTCAAATGTTCTCATCCATTATGACTCCCTGTTGTCTGCCAAGCTAATCCAGTAAACAATAAGTAAATATACTCCGGGATATTGATAATTACATACTTTTTAATGAAGCCCTATTTTTAAAGTTTTGTGTTGCACAAATACATAAAGACCATAAATAGAGGTCATTTTTAGATAGCATGTCTAAAGACCGGGACCAGGCACATGTTTCCAGGGCAATGGACGCGCGTCAAGTATTTTTCTCCCGTTTGTCCACGGCATCACAGACACACGTCAGAGTAATGCAAAGATGTCCTAATCGAGGCGTCTAGAGCGTTTTTTGACACTGCGGTCTCAACGCATCATTACACAATAATAATGTAATTACATGGGGTTACAAACTCCTTTTTTCAGAAAGAAAGAGAAAACGTATTTGTATTGTGGCACAATGTGACTTTTCATCATGTCAAGAAGTCAAAAAACCCAAAATATAAGTAGCATGTATGTCACAATAGGCTAATGATTTAGTACTGGTAAGAGTCAGGAAACAATAACCACAGGTCTGGATTTGGTTGGGCTGGTTCAGAAAGGTTCAGGTGTGGCTTTAGGAGTGTGGTGAGTGAAGGAGACAGACAATATTTTGATTTTTCTGGTACCATGTATTGAGTCGCCAGTGACAAACAAATACTACAAACAATAATAAAGTCCATGGCTCTTCAAGGTTAATATTTAAAATCTAAGTTCAGAAAAATGCACATTCAATAATGATTGACAATGCAAATGTGATAGTCCACATGAAGGTGCAGTAAGATCAACTGTCCGAGTGTGTGAGGCAGAACACAACCCAGTGGCTTAATTGTCCAGGGACTCTGAGGTCGTTGGGAGTGTGAGAGGGACAAGTGCAGCATGAGTGACCATGAGCAGTGGAACACTACAGACAGAGTTCAAAAGAGTAAAAGGCGGCTACAAGAGCCTCCTACCGGCCCAACCAGAGCAGGTGAGGGTCTTGAGTAGAGTCTGGGCTTGAGTTGAGAGATGACATCAGGCTTGATGCTTAATGTTTCAGCTCAGATCACAGCTGCCGACCGACCTGCAGCCGATATACAGGCCTGTGTGAGAACAAGACCAAATCAATATGTGCACATCAGGAAAATAAATCAAGTATCATTATAGAAATAAATCATATAAACTGTATCATTATCAACCATTACTGTACTGTAGTAGTAAAACTAGCTGTAGCTTTAAAAGTACTGCATTCTTCTTCAAATAGTGCTTCAAATAGTAACCACAAGACAATCAGAGTTAGAAAAATAAGTTAAAGAAGATTCAACAGAAATTACACTTCATTTGGTTTCATATATTTTAAGAAACAAGTCATAAAAGACGATGCTAGGCTAGGCTAACCCATGCATTTGATGAGAGCGAAACTCACCAATTCTGTAGCTTCAGTGACCCCTCGCTCTTAACTGTGGTGCTTCAGTAGAACTCTGCCAGCTCCTAAAGTGTCGACAGTAAATGCATTTGATGAAGTAACATGACAAAGCAAAATAAGTGATAAAAGTAACTTTAAGCCAACAGAAGTTTGCAGTGTTTGCTCATAAGGATCACTCACATGCTGACAATCAGTCCCCAACAGTTTCCACAGCTTCAGCTCGTCTTTTACCGCTTTTCCTGCTTTTGATATGAAAAATAACATATTTAGGTTTATTTAACACTGAATTGTTTTCCAAACACACAACCCCACTTCATCATGTTAAACCCAAAAACCCAACATGTGTGTATAGAGGCCTGCAATCTCATGATAATGCTCTAATGCTCTTAAAAGAAAAGAAATATAGCACATATTATTCTAAATCCTCATAATTCTATACAATCTTATTGTATAACCTTATAACGTAACATATATAACATGTAGTTACCTGAAGTACGTAGAGTGCCTTCCTTGTCTGCGATAGAGCTCTGTCCTTCTGAAACAGAAAAGTATTTCATGATTGTATTTCCCTTTACATTTGTTTTTTATACAGGACTTAACTTCATGTTCACAAGTCAAAGAACGAAGTGTGTATAGAAGCTTACATTTAAACTGCATTATCATCAACTTGTGTAAAACTTTTCAAGACCTTCCCCATCAAAATTTAAAACCACACATTTTCAAAAAACACATTTTAAATGAGAATTATATACAATTATACATCTTATAGGCCCACTATCTTCACTAAAGGTTTTGTTTGTACAAACATGAAAGGGAATTCTGTTTAAAAAAGAATAAGCACCCAATAAAAACAGAAACAAATAAATGATGCAGGATTCCTTTTAACGTGCCTAATAGTGTTATATAAATCAGTCAATATGTGCACCCTTCTTTACTGCATTTTCTTTTTGAAATATGCATCCTAAATGTTTGACTATAAGTTACTTATTTTCAATCAAAATAACATAATATAGAAGTGTAGTTCACTTTGTCCCTCCTCACTTCGTCCCCCGGCGCTAGCGGCTAAAGTCAGACGCACATTCAGCCCCAAAGCCGCTTTAAGTGACCGTGACGCCTCCGCACAGTCAAGATCAACACACTTTATATTAGTTCAATCCTCAAGTCGCGATGCTGCCCGCGGAGAACCAACACCACACCGGAGCTCCGCCGCGTCCGGCTCCGGAGCTCCGGCGGGTCCGGCCGCGGAGCTCGGGCGGGACCGGCCGCGGAGCTCGGGCGGGACCCGGCCGCGGAGCTCGGGCGGGACCGGCCGCGGAGCTCGGGCGGGTCCGGCCGCGGAGCTCGGGCGGGTCGGCGCGGAGCTCGGGCGGTCCGCGCCGGAGCTCGGGCGGGTCCGGGCGCCGCGGAGCCGTGACATAACGTGGATAATGATCTAGTAAGAACAGAGTATCTTACCTGAGCAGTTGTGAAGCTCCTGCCTCCAGGGTTTAATGTGGATAAAATGGCGTCTGGAGATGAAGAGACGCTGTGATCTCACGAGATTTACTGTTCTGTTATAGATGCAATTAAAATGCACTAAAAGAGTTTTTATTTTATTTTAATAAAAAATCACTTAAAAACAAAAACCTGATGTAAAAAATATCTAATATGGAAAATTCCAAATGCCGTGCATAAAATTAAAAAAGTTTAAAAAAGTTTGGTTCTGTGGTGAAGTGGAGGAGCGGGAGGAGCGACAGGAGCGGAGCGGGGGGAGTGTGGGGGAGGGGAGGCTCCGCCAGATTTTCGCCGTCATGTCTCAAGAACTGCGCCGAGTCAAAAGACTTGAGAAACTCAGAGCGCACCATCAGAAGTGTGAAAAACGAATGGATGCAGCCCAAACCCTTCTTTTAATGAAGGTAAGAGGTTTTTTTTATTATTATTATTATTATTTATTTTGTAGCGCTGGGCACGTTAACGCGTTAAGTCATTCTTTGACACGTGTCAGTAATATTATGTGGTGTAATTCAACAGTTCAGTTTTTTAAGTTGAGCTCAGTAAAAAGTGAACAGTAACATTAAATGAGCTTAATCCACTTTTAAAAAGAATCTTGTGCAAATTGAGACAACGTGAGTGTAATGCTAATATCGCGGAGAAAGCTAGACCATGTGCGTGTCTTTAGAACGAGCGAGTCTTTAACATGTGCGTGTCTTTAGAACGAGCGAGTCTTTAACATGTGCGTGTCTTTAGAACGAGCGAGTCTTTAACATGTGCGTGTCTTTAACATGTGCGTGTCTTTAACATGTGCATGTCTTTAACATGTGCGTGTCTTTAACATGTGCGTGTCTTTAACATGTGCGTGTCTTTAACATGTGCATGTCTTTAACATGTGCGTGTCTTTAGAACGAGTGTGTCTTTAACATGTGCGTGTCTTTAACATGTGCGTGTCTTTAGAACGAGTGAGTCTTTAACATGTGCGTGTCTTTAACATGTGCGTGTCTTTAACATGTGCGTGTCTTTAACATGTGCGTGTCTTTACCAGTGTTGGGTAGTAACGGATTACATGTACTGCCGTTATGTAATCAGAGTACAAATTATGAGTAACTGTATTCAGTTACAGTTACTGTTTAAATGAGTGGTAATTGGATTACAGTTACTTTGCTGAAATAAGTGGATTACAAGGCGGTATTTTCCTGTTTTCACATTTTGTGCTACATCCCATTTATTTATTTATTTATTTTGGTAATTCCACTCATTGCCGGAAACTCAAACATAACGTGGCAGTAAGAGCGATGGAAACGTCATGTTCACGTTGGCGGCGTCAGTCACACAATGGACGAGGTGGAAGAGCCAGTAGAACAGAGGCAGCAGTGCACAGGGAAAAATGCATTCGTGTCTTGGAAATTCTTCTCCCGACGTGAGATATAAAAAAATAACAAATATAAAATCGCCTACAAGTTAAATGTCAAACCAGAGCTACTGGCACCTGGTGAAAACAACCTGCATAGACTCATGATGTCTGCACTACTGTCATCGACCTGAGAACGCGCGGACCACCGTCATTCTCCCGCGCGCCGCGTGTGGACCGTGTTTTCTCGCGTACGCTGTGTAGACCGAGCTTCCTCTTGTGCGCCTCTAAACCAGAACTAACACCAAGACTTAAACCAGGACTAACCCAGTCCAGGACTAAACCAGGATTAAACCAGAACTAAAACCAGGTCTAAAATCAGGACTAAACCAGGACTGAACCAGGTCTAAACCAGAACTAAACCAGGACTAAACCAGGACTTAAACCAGGTTTTACAATCAGGATTAAACTAGGACTAAAACCAGGACTAAAACCAGGACTAAACCAGGGCTAAAATCAGGACCAAACCAGGACTAAAACCAGGTCTAAACAATGATACCTAACAGTAGGTTGGACATAATTTAAGGTGATCTCATATAAAAATAATTTCTCTATCAATTATATTTTTAATATGGTTAAGGAAAGACTGAGCTTTTTATTTTCTTTTAGCAGACAAAATGTATGTGAAGATTTCCTGGTCTTTGCTCCTCTACAGTAAACAGTTGCTTATGGAGACTTGGGCTCAACAGACAATTTGAAGAGAACAAACAAGAATTTTCAGGATGTGGTTTCTACATTCATGTAGTTTTAAAAGGCATGACAATATCAAGTAATCCAAAGTAATCAGATTACGTTACTCACTTTAAGTAATTTAATGGATTACGTTACAAACTACATTTTGGGGTATGTAATCTGTAGGGGAATACATTTTTAAAGTAACCTTCCCAACACTGGTCTTTACCATGTGCGTGTCTTTAGCGTGGGCGTGTCTTTAGCGCGGGCGTGTCTTTAGCATGAGCGTGTCTTTAGCATGAGCGTGTCTTTAGCATGAGCGTGTCTTTAGCTGCTGCGCGCCTACCACCTCTGTCAGGTGCACATCTGTCACTCCCGTCGGTTGGCGGGTCCAAAAGCAAACGCACATTCAGCCCCTTCGATTGTTTTGCGTCAGGATTAAAAGAATACTTTACTTGTAAGTGAAGATATGATCTGAGGAGTCTGTGTGAGGCTGAGTGTTGTAAATGTGTTTTGAAGCTACTTTTGGTTGTTTCTCGTTATTTAGCTCTTAGCTGCTCTAACTCCACATAAACAGTTATATTGTTCTAGTATAAAGTGACTCTAGTGTGTGCACATGTGACTGGCATATGCTGGTTTCTTGATGGTGCATGTAAACGCAGTAACCCGGTTTCAGTGTTGCGGTTATTAGAAACTGGGATACTGTAGCTGGTTTATTCCAATAGTAACCGGGAGACTGTGACATGTAAACGCAGTGTCCCGGTTACTGCAACATAAAGTTGAGTCACATGCATCCAAAAGACACTTTCCAGTCTTTTCACCACAACAGTAGCAACATAAATAAAGTGACCAACATAAAGTGACCACACGAGTAAAATGACTGTAAATTGTGAACGATTGTAAACGATAGTACGTGCGCTAAACCTGTACACGTACAATCTGCACTTGCATGACCTGCACTCATGTGACGCTGAAAAACTAAAACATGAACTATCTCCTATACAACACACACACAAAACAGACTCACCATCATCAGCACCTCTTCTGTCACAAAAACAACACTAACCCTAACCCTAAACCCCTAACCCTAATGAGAGCCCGACCGATATATCGGTTGGCCGATATTATCGGCCGAATTGAGCACCTGGAAGCATATCGGCTATCGGCCGATATACTTGCTGATAGGGGCCGATATTTCACGTGGGCATGTTATATGTCGTTATAAAGTTTAGACTCTCTACATTATGTTCATTTAATCCAATTTACAGTCAGATAAATGTCCAAATATGTGGCTCCGCATCAGTATTTATCTGCGGAGTCATTTGTCTGTGTGAGAGTCACGTGTGTTTGTTTACAGACACAGATCCAAACACTGGGATTATTTTCTTTTTACGGACAATCGGTTTGAGTCTGGATTAAAAGGACATTTATTAGTGCAGACTTTGTGATGTGAGGAGGAGCCTGTGTGAGCGGTGAGTGTTGGAAATATGTCGACTTTGAAGCAAGTTTTTGGTTAGCGGTTAGCTGCTGTAGCTCCCACACATAAATAGGCCGTTTTCTATTGGTCTATTGTAAAGTGATTTATATTGGCCGTATATTTGTTACTGGACCTGCATTGATATGTAAATGAGCTGTGAATAGACGTGTGAATGATGAAATTTGCGCATATAATTAATTACCGCGGCGCGCAGCATTTACGGCTAAAGGCTAATAGCGATTGTTTATTTACTCGCTAGCAGTGATGGGTCGTTCGCGAACGAAGCGGCTCTTAGATCCGGCTCTTTGAAGCGAACGACGGGAGCCTGATCCTTATTGGGAGCCGTGTTTTCTCTTTCTCTCACTTTTTTCTCTTCACGCCGCGTGCAGACTCGTGGTAGTTTGACAGCGGCAGCGGCTAAAAACAAAACTTTCAAAACTCTGCGTGTGCATAGTGTAAAAAAAAACTTGCAAAAATATATTCAGCATAAAATAAATAAACCAGGACTAATCTTGGGGTCGAGAGAGGGAGAGAGATAGAGACCGAGTCCCGACACTCAGTCCTGGTTAAATTCTGGTTTAGTTCTGTTTTGCACATAGTTTAGATCTGTTATAGTCCTGGTTTAGTGCTTTTTCAGTGCTGGTTCAGTCCTGCTTTAGACCTGCCTTAGACCTGCTTTAGTGCTATGACATTTCATGTAAAGAGGCAGAAGAACAATAAATGTTTCTTAAATAAACCCAGTTTAAAATCCACAAGAGCCAAACCTAAGTTTTTTTTTAATAATTCAAGATTTACAGTGAATTTTTACATAACTAAATATATCGGTGATTATATCGGCTATCGGCAGCTCCAACTATCATTATATCGGTATCATATCGGCCACAACAAAATCCATATCGGTCGGGCTCTACACATAATCCACTGAGTCGTGTCTTTTAGTCCAAAAGAAGCTGAACCACGTCAGCGACACAAGAGGTGCCCCCCCCCCCCCCCTTGCACAAATCTGCATTAAACACATTATAATGTCAAACGGGCTGATGTGGCTCTAGAGTGATTATGGTTTATATGTTTTTTTTCAAGTTGAGTTTATTTCTGCAGATTAGTAATAGTAATAATAATGATACTTTTAATATAAAACATTAATGATTAATCAAAAATTGATTGTTAATTCTCCCAACAGTTGATTAAGAAAATTTAATCAAATGCCCATCACTAACACCTACATGATCATATTTATTATGAATCAGCTGGAGCCTCTCTCTTTTAATCCATTTACACTTGAACCAACTGTTGCACCAAAAGCGCTAATTGGATGCTCTGTTACCATGACAACAAGGTTGTACTTCCAGGTTAAGTCTTTACCATGGTTTGTTTTAGGTATTTTACTTTTTAATTGTATGGACATAAAGACATTTTGGATCAGTATAAGTTAATTTCTAATTCATCATGTAATATCTGTGTTTTTTCTTCCCCTGCTGTTTAGGCTAACATCGAACATTCAACAGGGGAACATATTAAAGAGCTTTCCCCTGATGAACCAAAAGACTGTTCCCCCTCATCACCACATCAAACACTGTTTTCTGCTGGCAACCACCTACCATCACCGTCATCTCCCACTGAAGATGAGTCTGAATTATCCAGTCACAGTGGATCAGATGAAGAATACCATCCTCCAGCAGCAGCGTCATCATCGTCATCTACTGAAGATGAGCTACTAACAAACGAGTTAGCCAGCCAAAGAGTTCCAGAGAAACATGAATGTGATTCATCATCCAAAGAAACTGAGATCATAGGAGCGAAGAGCAATAAGGACTCCAAACAGTCAGGGGCCAGGAGCAAAAAGGGCACAGAGCAGTCACACCGGCTAGGTAAGAAATTAAAAGAAAAGATGCCAGAAATTACAATTAAAATGAGCAACAACAAGGGTGGGGCTAGGGCCTGGGACAAAGCGCATTATTGTGTATATTGTAAAAAGGCAAATCTAAAAATAGCTAGACATCTTGAAAGAAAACATGGTGCTGAAAAAGATGTTGCCCATGCTTTTAGCTTTCCATCCTGCTCTAAGGAAAGGAAAACACTTTTGGAAGCTCTTCGAAATAAGGGAGATTGGCAGCATAATCTTAGAGTGTTAGAAGAAGGAAGTGGGGAGATAGTACCATGGAGACGACCCACAAAGACAGTAGATGTGAAGAACTACCTACCATGTCAACACTGTTATGCAATGTTTGTTAGGACTGAACTCTGGAGACATGAAAAGACTTGCAGAGAACGAAAAGATCAAAGAGATAAGCGTAAAAGAGTAAGAGTCCAAAAATCCTCTTCCCAACTCATTCCAATTACAGAATCATCAGAGGGAGTGCAAAAGATTATTCATTCTATGCAGCAAGATCATGTGACTTCCCACATTAGAGATGATAAGATGATTTGCACATATGGAGATGCATTATTTGCCAAAAAGGGCCGTGAACAGTCTCAACACAGATATATTGCACAAAAACTGAGGGAGCTAGGGCGGTTTGTGCTGGCGGCCAAGGAGATTGACAAGAGCATTAAAGGTCTTTGTAATATTTGTGATCCTGCACAGTTTCACTTAGCAATTAAAGCAGCCAGGAAAGTATCAAACTATAACCCAGATAGCAGTGAATATGGAAAACCATCTACAGCAGTTAAAATTGGATTTTCTCTTAAAGGTGCAACAGAGGCATGGATTGGCCGTTGTTTGATATGCTGTGATACTTTAAATGAGACCAAAGCAAAAAAATTTAAGGAGCTGCTGGATTCCTCCTGGTCTAACTATGTGTCAGCCAATGCTCACAGCACAATAGAGCAACGGAAGTGGGGGAAAGAGGACAACATACCTTTAACAGAAGATGTAGAAACTTTGCAGAACTATCTGAAGAAAATGGAGGATGAGGCAAAGGCAGAGTTAACAGTCCATGTGACTACTACAGCATACAAAAAGTTAAGTGAGAGCCTTCTCGCACAAATAATAGTGTTCAATAAAAAGCGTGAAGGAGAAGCCTCACGCTTAACTCTGGAGACATACAAAAGAGTAGACACTGGCCCTTTGAATAAGGACATATATGAAACTTTATCACCAGTGGAACAACAGCTGAGCCACAGGCTGACTCGTTTAGTGACGCGCGGAAAGAGAGGAAGAAAAGTCCCCATCCTACTTCTGGAGCGCACCAAAGCTTCTCTTGATTTCCTGATTGAAAAACGTGGACAAGCTGGTATACTTGAGGAGAACCCATATGTGTTTGCACGGCCCGGTACAACAACCAATATTCGTGGATGTGACTGTCTCAGGAAATTTGCTGAGGAGAGTAAGGCCAAACATCCAGAACTTCTGAGGTCAACAAAGTTAAGGAAGCATGTTGCCACCTTATGTCAACTTCTGGACCTTGACAATCAGGAACTTGAACAAGTTGCTCGATTTATGGGACATGATATCAGAGTCCATTGTGACTATTATCGTCAGACAGATAAAACGTTTCAGGTGGCAAAGATTGGCAAACTCCTTTTTGCAATGGAACACGGTGCAGAGTCACTGAAAGGGAAGAGTCTGAAAACACTGGACACTGTTATCAGTGGTATGTAAAGGAATATTAAGATGTTACTTACATTATTTAGATTTGTGTAGTTTCTTTCTTGTCGTCTTCAAACGTTCTGTTTAGAATATCTGTCTCTTTCTTTATATCTATCTACATATTTATGAATTAATTTAGTTTTATTGTAAAACTTCAATTTCCTAATTCCCCCATTGTGAACATTTCACAGGTAGAGGACCTGTTTCCCGCACAACCAGGAGTCTGAGAGGGAACGATGCAGACACACATCTGGAAGTTCATGATGGTAAGGAATCAAACAAGAGTTACAAATGGAACTACAGTTCTATGAATGTGCGAAGGAAGTCATTCAGTGCTAAAGGAGAGGAGAGAGGGAGAATTCAGAGCTAGGGAGGGGGGAAAGAGGAGAGGAGGAGAAAGAGAAGAGACAACAAGGAGTGGGAAGAAACTCAGCAAGAGAGAGAAAGGGGACAGAAAGAGAGAGAAAGAGAAAAGTGGTAGAAAGAAGGAAAGGAAAAACATAGTTATGTGATGGACGAGGAAACTGGAGAGGGAGAGAGGAGGTGGAAGGAGAGAGGGAGTCGAGTTGGAGAAGTGTGAAAAGAGGAGGAGGGGTGTCTAATGGTAGGATTCTTCCATCATTGAAGAAGCAGGACTCTGAAGCTTAGCTTGAGTTATGACGAGTTGTGCTCACTTTATACTGCAGATCTCAGCTGTACAACTCCCACTAACATCACTCACTGACCACCTCAGCCCCATCAGTGTATCCAGACATTGCCTGTATGAAAATGTCAGCTCATTGGATAAAAGATGTGTCCATGAGACAATCAGAGGACAAAGATTGAAACATTTGATTTATGCTTGACTTTTATATGAGTAACAGTACAGTACTGTACAAATATTTGAATCAAAAATTCAAAAACAAGGAGTAAAATAAGAAAGTATTATATTTCTAAAATCCATAAATAAGTATGAAAATAATTTTGATGACAATACTGTTTACATGTTCCTAATCTGTCCTCCTTCATCAGATGAAGAACAGATGTCCTTATCTGTTCAGAGGCCAAGGAGAGGACCTGATGGAGATGATGCTGGTAATTTCAGGCAATATTCACACAAACGAAGTGCCTTCACTCTGAGCTGAGTGTGTTTATGGTCTAAATCTTCACTTTCCCAGATGGGGAGGAGTTACACTCGCCTGCAGCCAGTTTGCCTCCAACTAGGAGACCTAAGGATGAGGATGATGGGAGTGATGATTGCAGGGGTAAGTCCAGAAAACATTCTCAGGCAGGAGGTTGTTACTGCAGTGACCCTCAAAAGGTTAATAATAGCTAGCTATAATGGTGGTATGAGGTGTATCAGGTGGTGTCAGGGGTATGAGGTGTATCAGGTGTATCAGGGGTATGAGGTGTATCAGGTGTATCAGGGGTATGAGGTGTATCAGGGGTATGAGGTGTATCAGGGGTATGAGGTGTATCAGGTGTCAGGGGTATGAGGTGTATCAGGGGTATGAGGTGTATCAGGTGGTGTCAGGGGTATGAGGTGTATCAGGTGTATCAGGGGTATGAGGTGTATCAGGGGTATGAGGTGTATCAGGTGGTATGAGGTGTATCAGGGGTATCAGGGGTATGAGGTGTATCAGGGGTATGAGGTGTATCAGGTGTATCAGGGGTATGAGGTGTATCAGGTGGTGTCAGGGGTATGAGGTGTATCAGGTATGAGGTGTATCAGGGGTATGAGGTGTATCAGGGGTATGAGGTGGTATCAGGGGTATGAGGTGTGTATCAGGGTATGAGGTGTATCAGGTATCAGGGGTATGAGGTGTATCAGGTGTGTATCAGGTGGGTATGAGGTGTGTATCAGGTGTATCAGGGGTATGAGGTGTATCAGGTGTATCAGGGTATGAGGTGTATCAGGTGTATCAGGGGTATGAGGTGTATCAGGTGTATCAGGGGTGTATGAGGTGTAGGTGTATCAGGGGTGTGTATCAGGGGTATGAGGTGTGTATCAGGTGTATCAGGTGGTATCAGGGGTATGAGGTGTATCAGGTGTATGAGGTGTATCAGGTGTATGAGGTGTATCAGGTGTATCGGGTATGAGGTGTATCAGGTGTATCAGGTATCAGGTGTATCAGGTGTATCAGGTGTATCAGGTGTATCAGGTGTATCAGGTGTATGAGGTGTATCAGGGGTATGAGGTGTATCAGGGTATGAGGGTGTATCAGGGGTATGAGGTGTATCAGGGGTATTGAGGGTGTATCAGGGGGTATGAGGTGTATCAGGTGGTATGAGGTGTATCAGGGGTATGAGGTGTATCAGGTGTATCAGGGGTATGAGGTGTATCAGGGGTATGAGGTGTATCAGGGGTGTATGAGGTGTATCAGGGTGTATCAGGGGTATGAGGTGTATCAGGGGTATGAGGTGTATCAGGGGTATGAGGTGTATCAGGTGTATGTGTATCAGGGGTATGAGGTGTATCAGGTGTGTCAGGAGTTTACAAGTGCATGAACTGAGTATTGGTGAAGTTTTTTGTACAAAAATCCATCCTCACAGATTAAGAGTCTCACTAGCACCAGCACACCTGCTAAGAGGCAAATGATTACAACTTGAAGACATGTTCGCTCTTTGACCCATTTAAAACGTGATCTTTTGTAGATGAAGAGATGACATGGGAGCCTATTAGAAGACCAGATGATAAGCAACAAGAGGAGATTACAACCAAAAAAAGATATGAGAAAGATGAAGGTTTGGAAAAGTCTTGGATTCAGAACATTACTGTGTGCTGATTTTAATAAGTGGAGTTTTTTTTATGGTGCTAATGTCATTTTTTTCTCAGACAAACAAGAGCCAGACACAACAGCAGCTATAAAACATGCTGACGATAATAATGATTATGATGGCGATGATGACGACGATGACGATGATGAAAACAGAGGTGAGCCTGGGCATTGTAAACACAAGAACGTAGTTCTAAATACAAAGGAGATCACAAAGTACCCGAATCTGGTCCATAATGTTCCATTTAATATCCAGGAGTAAAAGATAATGCCTTATTTGCAGTAAGGTTTTGTGATGTGGCCTCATGAATCTAGAATGTGTCTAAACCGGTTCTAAACTGGTTCTAAAGCAGGTCTAAAGCAGGTCTAAACCTGCTGGTAAAAACAGACTGAACCATTTTCTAGTGGTGAGTAGTCATTTTTGAGTGGCATGTGAGGGTCCACAGAGATGTGAAATGAGCTGGACAGAAACATTTAAGTTTCCTCATCTTTGTTAATTTTTAAAGTTTCACTATGTAACTTTTCTGATGGAGGTTCAGCAACCTGATTGTCTCCATGTTATTGCTTTGCCTGGAATGTTCCACAGTATGGTAATAAACTGATCCATCTCCAGAGAGATGCCACAAGGTCAAATCACAGTTTTGACATAAAAACAGCTGTAAGGATGTATACAGATCAGTTTAATGTCAACCTGCAATGTTACAGCAAAGCAAAACATGTCCATGGAGACAAACAAGTTCCATAGTGCACCTTTAAAAGGAAATTAAAACCAGAGCTTCTAGAAAAATACAAACCGTGTTGAGGGTTCATGCAAGAGTTAAATGTTAACATTTACCTTTCTTGGTCTCTTGAGAATAGGAAATGTGTTTTAAAAATGAACAGGAGTAGATGTGTGTAGGTGTCAGTGTGATAGTGAGAGCTGGATCAGGAACAGATGCACTGAACACTAAATCTATGAACAAGATGAACGGGAAATGTCTTCAGTTCTGACATGTTTGTTTAAACTTTGCATTTCATTCATCCATCCATCCATTTTCTTCCGCTTAATCCGGGGCCGGGTCGCGGGGGCAGCAGTCTAAGTAGGGACTCCCAGACTTCCTTTACCCCAGACACGTCCTCCAGCTCCTCCTGTGGGACCTGAGGTGTTCCCAGGCCAGCCCAGAGACATAGTCCCTCCAGTGTGTCCTGGGTCTTCCCCAGGGCCTCCTCCCAGTGGGACATGAACACATCCTGAGGGAGACGTCCAGGACACATCTGGAACAGATGCCCGAGCCACCTCAACTGGCTCCTCTCCACGTGGAGGAGCAGCGGCTCTACTCCGAGCTCCTCACCCTATCTCTAAGGGAGCGCCCAGCCACCCTGTAGAGGAAACTCATTTTGACCACTTGTATCGGCGATCTCGTCCTTTTGGTCATTACCCAAAGCTCATGACCATTTGCATTTGATTCAAGTCAAATTTAAATGAATGAAAAAAGGGAATGGACCTACTCATATGATTCTAGTGTTGGGACAATAGGCCAATGACTAAATGTTGAATTATCCTTTTAGTGAAAAATCTTAAGATATAATAGTTTTATGTGTGTTTTGTGCTCTGGTTGTAGCATTTCTCCTGCTCCTCTCACTGATATTAGGACACTGATTATCTGATCCACTGTCTGCCTCAACTTTGTTAAAATAGACTGAAGGGATGCAAACATTTTGACCACAGATGTGTTCTTTCTTAGACAAAAAGAAGCTGAGCATGAACACCAAACGTGCCTTTAAGAGGCCAAAGAAGACTGCAGTTAAACGAAAACGAGACAGTGATGATTGTGGTGAGTTCAGAGAAGTCCTCAGTGCTGAGAACTTTCGCTGATCTAATATCTGTCTGTTTCAGATGAGGAGGATGGAGAGGACAGACACAGAACTGCCACCAAATCCTCTGTGAAAAATCAAAAGAAGACTGCAAGTCAAAGACCATGCAGTGATGGTAAGAGTAGGTAGATTTCCTAAAGACGAGTGTGATTATGACTGTGGTGCCGATGATGGTAGTGCACTGTCTATGTGTCCACTGAGTCCACAGAGTTGTTTTAAGGAAGGATGGATGCTTATAATGGTTGAAGAAGTACTACATTTTATTAAATAAAAGTCAGTAGCGTGCGGTCAGGGGAATCAAGGCAAGCAGTGGTCGCTCAACAAAATCTAAAATCATCGTGTGTCAAAAGTATAATTAAATAGTTTCGAATTAGATCCAAATAATCACGTTTTTGCTTCACTTCTGTCTGTGTGAAACATGGTTGTAGTGGCGGTGTCCTTAAGTACACTCCTCTGGCCACTGAGCAAACAGCAAAAACCATTAACTTGTGTTGTTTTGGCCTTCTGCGGAGGCCTGGAGACACATGTTGAGAGCACAGCTTTCTACATGCGCTCTGACAGCCACAGAGATCAGTTTGGTTGTGCGCACTGAGGACAACAGCTGGCTCAAACAGCGCTGAAAATAAACCTATATCATCATCCATGGGAAGCAGAATGCGCAGCGATTTCATGTGAGTGCGCGTGTGCAGGAGACGACAAAAGCAGCTCTAGGGTTAGTGTCTGTAACGATGAGATGTTAGTTAGAAATACAGGCCGACATTTAATGAAACTGTGAGCAAGTATCAGGGTTATTTTGTGTCAAATGGAGCAGTGAAGTGAGCAGCTGTTGCAGCCAGGATTCTTCCTTGTCTGTGTTTATGAAGGAGCGACAGTGTCAGTGGAATAACAGCACTATTACACATGTGGTGAAACATGTTTTTGTTCTGGACCTGCTTCGCTTCAGAATGTACATTTTGTGCAGTAAGTGCATTACACATTATGTGTAGTTATCATATGTCACTCATGTGGTTTCTTGATGCTTTATTTATCCATCTGAGCCTTCAGGATGGTTGTTATAAAGTGTTGGAGTAGAAACAAATAGCTCTGTTTGTATAAACAGGGTGTCAAATACTCTATTATATACAAATATTAATACACATATTTAGCTCTTGGTCTTAAAAATTTGACTCCAAAATGGCAGTTTCGTGCAACTGATGTTAGTAAAATAAATATATTCATTTGCATTGTATTATGTATAAAAAGTGTTATCAAATATTAATGTCCATCCCAAGTTTGCTTGCCTACCCATAAAAGTCACCACACGCTACTAAAGGTACCGATACCAGAGCAAAAAAAATAAATACTCAAGTAAAACTAAAATACGTTACGTAAAGTACATTAAAAATGTACTTATCTACTGTTCAAAAATGTAGTGAAGTAGAAAGTGCATGTCTCTACTTTAAAAATTTAAGCACAGATACCAAAAATTTTTACTTAAAGGTCCATTGTGTAACTTTGGTTGGGGGGTTCGTTACCTGTCTGTTTCTATGGAGACGTCATTGCTCTGCCTGGAATGTTCCACAGTGTGACATTACACAGCTCCACTTTACATTTATTCAATTACAGGTGGTTTTATAGATCAAAAATCCCTTGATAAACAGACATTGTGACTGTGAGTGGGGTCGCCTCTCCACAGATCTGACCTGTAACTTGGTCTGGTTTGGCCTCCATGAGGATAGAAAGGTTTAATGCAATACTGAGAAACATTCCAGACAAAGCAATAACATCTCCACGGAGACAAGTGTTTGAAGGAGCCTC